CAAGAATTCTTATTGCAAAGTATTGGAAGACACAAGATCTACCCACCTTGGAAGAATGGCAGATGAAGGTGATGGACTATATGGAATTGGCGGAAATGACTGGCAGAATCCGAGACCAGGGAGAAGAGTTGATGGAAGAAGATTGGAAAAAGTTTAAAGACTACCTACAGAAATATTGTAAAATTAATGAATGTTAGAATGATGTTGGATAGAAACTAAGTGGTCTTTAGCGGAAAGGTTATAAGGGAATATGAAAAAAGGGTTTATTAATATGTAAAAATCTAAAATTACAATATTTTTATGATTAATGATTGGGATACATAAAGAGGAGAGAGATTTGCTGAACGAATAATTGAACTGGAATACAAAAAAGGGAGGTGTGAGGAGGTCCTGGAACTAAGCAAATGAAGGTCAAGTAACGGAAGGAATGAATTGTTTTTAACTATTTTTACTTTGTATTTTCTCTTTTTCTTTTTGTGTTTTGTAATATCTTGAAAATTTTAATAAATATCTTATAAAAAAACACACAAAGATTTTAATAAAATAGGCCCTCGATCCAGCTCATTCCTTAGTAAAATACTTGATGTATATAGGAGGAAACAGCGACATCGAAAGAGAAACATTTGGATGTTTATCTGCATAGTTCTAAGGTCATAAGGAGAGTCTGCTGGGTCAGGCCAATGGCCCATTTCACCCAGTGTCCTGCTCTCACAATGGTTACCCAGATGCCCCAATGGGAGATCAGCAAGCCGGACATAAGCACAACAGCCACTCTCCCCTCCTGCCATTTCCAGCAACTGGTACTCAGAGCATTGCTTCCTTCAACTGTGGAGAGCAGAGCAGAGCCATTGTGATACCACCGATAGCCCTCTCCTCCATTCTTTTGTGTTTGATCCAAGGGTAGTTGTTGTGGCCGATCGTTTGGTATTTGCTCCAGCTCTGATGGCCAAGCCTGTGCAAACCAGGCATAATGACGAAGGTTTAAAGAGAAAGAAAACTCATCTGGTAAAGGTAATTCCCTGCTTTTGTTTTATATTAGTTAAGTGCAAGGTTTGTGGATTTTATTTCACCTTGGATTTTATTCTAATGTTGTAGAATTTCCCCTGACAGTTTCAGGAACCTTCCTTCATCCTTGAGTGGATTTTGCTGGAGGATATTGGCCTTGATCCAAACCTCACTGAAGTTAATAGTGACGTTCTCATGCCCATTACAAAAATCATTCTTTTCACCCTTTTATCATTAAAAGAAAGAAAGAAAGAAAGAAAGAAAGAGCATCAAAACTTTGATATTCTTTTAGATATAATTTGCTTGTTCCTTCTGACTCAGAGATCACTGAATAAAAAAAATGGACTCTGACAATGTATTGAATCAGAATCAGAACTGTCGAACTGAAAGGGACCACAAGGGTTGTCTAGTCCAACCTTTCTGCAATGCAGGAATCTTTTTGGTCAATGTGGGGCGTGATCCCACCACCTTGATATTAGGAGTCTCATGCTCTACCCAGGGGATTATGTTTGCATAAGACCATCGGAACAGTCCTGCTGGATCAGAGCCAAGTCCCAACTAGTCATAGGAAGCCACCTTATGCCAAGTCAAACACTGGTCTCTCTAGCTCTGAGTTGTAGTGGCCCTTGAGGCTTTCAGGCAGGGGATTTGTCCAGCCTGGAGATGTTGCTGGGTATTGAACTAGAGTTACAGCCCTCCCATCAGCATCACTGGCCAGCCAGATGCTTGCAAGAAGCCTCTAAACAGGACATGAGTTCAACTTCAACACAGTCATTCAGAGTGTCCAGGATTGGCAGGACTACGCAATCAACATGGAACGTTAGAACTTAAGAAGAACCCTGTTGGATCAGGTCAATGGCCATCTAGCCCAGCATCCTGTTCTCACAGTGGCCAACCAGATGCCTTTGGGGAACCTGCAAGCAGGATTCAAGCATATGAGCCCTCTCTCCTCTTTGTGGTTTCCAGTCACTGGTATCCAGAAGCATTGCTGCCTCTAGCCTTGAAGGCAGAGCACAGCCATCATAGCTAGTAGCTCTTAGTAGCCCTCTCCTCCTCCATGAATTAGTCTCACCCTCTTTCAAAGCCATCTAAGTTGGTAGCCATCACTGCCTCCTGTGGAAGTGAGTTCCATAGTTTAACTATGCAATTGCTTGGGGTGGCTTCATTGTCAGTGAAGCAGATAACATACACATTGGTTGACCAACCCGCTTTTGCCTCTAGCTCTGCCCAGCACAGGAATGTAGCCCCTGGAAGGTTGTCCAGAAGGGGATGCAGCCCTCAAACTGAAAAGTATTCCCTACCCCTGACCAAGGAGGACACCCAACACTTTCCTGGGTTTGCAGGCTACAAAGGAAGGTTAGTGACAGTGATCCACCTGCTTTCCAGGAAAGCTATTCTGCCATTACAAAGAGCTTCAGACTTGGGAACTCCCAATAAGCTCTGCTGAGCCCCAGAGTTCCCCAGAACACTCCTTGAAAACAACTAGGGTAGCATATTCCGAGTTAAGCAAACTGCAGTTGCAATTTATTTTATACAATTTATTATGCAAATTATACCATTTTTATAACAATTTATTGTTTTTCCTCCAAAGAGTCCAAGGTGGTATACATGGTAGGTTAAGTGGAGAGGAAGTGGCTGGCCCAAGGTCACCCAGTGAGCTCCATGGCTGACTGGAGATTTGTGCCCTGGTATACCAGATACCAGCCCAACACTCTAACCACCACAACACTATGCTGGAAATGCCCCTCTTAGGAACAGCAGCAAGGAGGAAGAGGCTCTGTGTGGATTCCTCCCAGAACTGCCTGAGGTTTCTGAAGTGGCCAGGGTGCTGTGGGAAGGAGGTGGTTGCCCAGAGGTGATAAACTGAGGCTACAGAAATCTGGGCTGTACCATTTCAGAAGGCAGGTGGCTTGGTTCTAGGTTCGCATGCTGCCCCTATGTTAAAAGCTCTTTGGGTGCAAGCAGGGTCAGCCCTACTGTTAGCAAAGTAAGGCAACAGCCTCAGGCTGTCAAATTCAGGTGTAGCAAATCACCATTTAATGTATTCTCCCCACCCCCTTTCATTAGTATTATTAGTATTAGTATTACATTTCTGTACAATGCTGCCCTTCATCTGACGATCACAGGGCAGTTTACAGTATCAAAACTGGAAAAAAACATTCCATAGTAACAACAAAAACAATTAACACACACACACCCCAGTTTAAAAGGCCATAGATTCTCCCAAAGGCTTGGGAGAAGAGGACCATTTTTGGCTGGTTCATCCCTAGGAAGAACGTTTCATGGGGGCCACTGCAAAAAAGGCCTGTTCTCATGTTGCCACCCTTTGGACCTCTCATGGAGAAGGCACAAAAAGAAGTGCCTCAGATGATGATTACAGGGACTGGATCGGTTCCTGTGAGAACAGGTAAGGGCACTTGTGACAGGTTTGTCTAAGGCACCAAAATAATTTGGCACGACTGGGTGCAATGTACCTTAAGAGAAGTGTGGGGCTTGTGGGAGAAAGCATCACTTGCCGTTCGGCCTCAGTCTGCAAAATTTCTTGAGCGAACCTGCATGCAAGCTAGCACATCAAGCTAGAAAGAGCAGACCCCAAGACCAGCCTCGCTTTGGCCAGTCGCCTGCCTGCCTCGGATCGTGGCTTCAGTTCTGACAGGCTCTCGGTGGAACAAAGTAGTTGCCCTTTGCAAAGGCAACGGAAGCAAAACCACTTTTTGATACTGGTGCACTAGTTCACTACATGCAAGGAACTGGGTGTGTGCTTTCGAAGGCATTTCCTAAATCCAGGCCCAACTCACTCCTGCAGTTTGAAGTGGTGCAGTCCAAGATCCTACCACCTCGTTCGTTGCAATGCGTGGAAAGGTAGCGAAGTAGGCAGGCGGGCCAAGGAGGGGTTGCAAGAAAGGCGAGTGCGCTTCAGCCCCTGAGCAACAGCGCCGCCTAGCTGCCAAGGAGGCCACGGCAAACGGCGGGCAAGCGCCTCCAGCCGCGCGGCGTTGCAAAAATGCCGTCTCTTTAAAAGATCCATGTGGGGGTGGGAAATGCTCCTTTTATTGCATCAAATCAGGTTTCAAGGGGTTGGATTGTGCCCCCGCGCGCCTCCCCCACCTTTTTTTTTCCTTTTTGCAAAGAGTCCTCTCCTCCCCGCCCAACCCCGCAAGCCCCTCCGCGTCCCGATCGCTTGACTCGTGTCTGTCTGCAGTTCAAGGCAGCAGCTGCTGCAGCCAGAGATACGGTATCAGGGAGCTCGGAGGCAGGGGGCGGGTGAAAGGGGAGTAGAGGAGAGGCGGGAATAGAGCGAGGAAACACCTGTTCCCAGTACGAAAAAAGGTGGCGGGGGGGGGGGAGAGTCCACAGCCGGCTTGGAACTCCCCACCCACCCCACTCCCACTCCCACTCCATATCTATTCTCCTACCCAACACCCCAATGCCGTTTACAAATGCACACACACTAGAGGGGTCCGGGTTTCCCCCCCTCCCTCAATAGATCCCAAAATGTGTTTGGCAGTCTGCTTCCCAAAGGTGGGGAGGGGAAAAAAGAATTCAGTGCAGCAGGTTCCTTTTGCCTCCTAGGGATACAAAGAGGAGGAAGGGAGGGGGGAGAGAAACCGCCGCGGAACGCGCGGTGCAAACTCGAGATGGAGAGGGAGATCTGCCGTCTGCTTCTGGGGTTGTCGCCCACAAGAAGCGCTTTCAGGGGACCCCGGGAGAGGGTATCCCGGCGGCACTCCGAAGCAGGCGCCGAGTGTTGGGCTCTGCTGTAAAAAAAGGGTGGGGGGGGGGGGAGAGAAAAAGAAAAACCAAACCAGCCCGTGGTTTTGCTTCCGTTGCCTTTGCAAAGGGCAACTACTTTGTTCCACCGAGAGCCTGTCAGAACTGAAGCCACGATCCGAGGCAGGCAGGCGACTGGCCAAAGCGAGGCTGGTCTTGGGGTCGCCTGGCTCAAGCGAGCTCGACGCCTTTCGCATCCCCCGCGCACGAAGTTTCATCATCAGCGCTCGGGAAAGGACCTGCCAAAAAAGCTCGCTTGGCTCGCTGCATTGTGGCGCGGCTTCCTTCCTTTTCTTTTCTTTTCTTTTTTAAAGAATAATAAAGGAGGGAGTGAAACGTTCTCTTCCCTCCCCCCGCCCCGCAAAAGAGCCAAATGGATCGCAGAAGAGGCGCAGGGAGCAGGGGGGACCGGGGCAACTGCCAAGGGGGTATGCCAGTGAGGTGTGGCTTGCATTTAAATATCCAATATGTCAATGTAAGGGGAGTGTGTGTGTACGTATATAAAGTCCAGTTTGCATCGGATCGCCGGACAGATCCAGCAGCTATGAAAGGCGGCAGGACGAGGAGGTGGAGGAGGAGAAGCAGGGGGGGACGCGCTGGACCAGGCGAGCCGGCGCAGGCGGCTTGAGCTGGGGAGCTAGCAAGCGCAAGAGAGCGGCGGCGACGCCGGAGGAATCGCAGCCTCCGAGAGGGCAAGAGCTACTGTCCTCCGCTGGACCCGGAGCTCGCGTGGCTCGTTCGTTAGTACGCTCGGGCTTCCCTGCTGTCTCCTCCGGGCTTTGCGCCCCCGCGGTGGCCATGGCCGAGGTCGGCGGCTTCCTGGGCTCTCTCGATTTGGATTTGCACGGATTCTCCTCGACACTTGGGAGCGTGGCGCTCGCCGACTCGCCGGGCTTTTTAAACGAGCGCCTGGGGCAAATCGAGGGGCGGCTGCAGCGGGGCTCTCCCACTGACTTCGCCCACCTGAAAGGCATCCTCCGACGGAGGCAGCTCTACTGCCGGACCGGGTTCCACCTGGAGATCTTCCCCAACGGCACCGTGCACGGCACCCGCCAGGACCACAGCCGCTTCGGTAAGCCGCGGGCGGGGTGGCAGCGGGGCTGGGAAGAGGCGTGCGCGGCGGCGCTGAGCGCTAAACAAAAGCAGCGGCAGCAGCGGCAGAACCTTTAGCTCCCTTTCCCCTCAAAGTTGTAGGGAGAGTTAGCTTGGGAAGAAAAAGCGGTTGAGCATGGAGGGGCAGTAGGCGCAATGTGGGGAGAAGGCATTGGCAGCAGCTGGAGAGGGGCGCCCGCTGGCGGGGGGGCATGCAGCCCCTACCCGCCGCGTGGGAACGTATGCCCGCCTTTGCGCTCTGTGGAGCAACCTTGCGTCCCCTGTTTACAGCCTCTGTGCTTTGGTTCGCGTCCAAGCCACGTGGTCGCCTTTCCTTCTCCCAAACTCTTTCTTCTCTCTCGGTCCCTGAACCGAAAGACCCCCTGATTGGAATCTCCCCTCTCTCTCCCTCTCTGTTCCACCCCACCGCACCGTGTTGGTGGAGGAGTCTCCCGTTCCCTTCCCACTAGCGTCCCCACCCCCGTCTCGAAAGCAGGTGTCCTTTTTTGCTCTGCCGGATCTCTCGCGCAGTCACAATAGCCGCGGAGAGCTGCCTTTATGAACTTGTTCAAAGTGCCCCGCCGCCTTGTCCCACATACAGAACTAATTACACTAGTAATATAAATCATCCTGAGCATGGATATAATTAGAATGCTAAATAAATGCGCTCACTCCCCTGAAATGCCAGCATGTTAATTTTCAATTTCCTATTCTCCCACTGCTAAACCGTTTTGCAGGTGCACAAAAAATACTTTAAAAAGCAGGCTCTTTATAAAAAAAGCAACCAACAAAAACAAAACTAGAACCAAAGAGAAGCAGGCTAGGAACATGTTTTCCACACACACAGGCACACAGGCCCATGCAGCTTACAATAGGATAGTTTGGAAAGCTGAACAGAAAACATCAGTTCATAAGTTTATTGTTCTAGCCAAAGGCCGTGACAAACTTGTAGCTGTAGTATTAATAAGATAATTCATAACATAAGCTTGGAAAGCAGAGAAGAGACAGGCAGGTGCTTTTGGAAAACCCACCCTTTGCACAATTTTAGACTAGGCACTTCTCATACCTAGTCATTAAGGTTGCAACCCTATACCTGTTTGCATGGAAGTAAGCACCATTTGATGCACTCGGGCTTACTTCTGAGCAATATGTGTGTAGGGTTGTGCTGCAAAGGGAATTTGAAGCATGAATAAAATGTGGAACCAAACCAACTAAAAATAGTTTCATAACTTTACATCCTTCATATGAAATGAAGTTTCGTGATGGTAGGAATGTGATCAGAGCTTGGTGACTTTTATTTGGCAAAATATGCAGACTTCAGAACCCTGTCCTTGGTTCACTGAATGCTGGGAATGCTTAATAACCATTTTTTTAAATGCAAAGAAGAAAGTGAGGTGCAGAGAAAGGAGTGGGGTCTGAGAACCACAGGTGTCTTGCAGGGACTCTCAAGAAGGTCCAACATGGAGACTTCAGCCATGCATCCAGCAAGTCTGGAATCCTGGGATAACTGTGAGCACCACCCCTACCCTATTAAGATGTCTACAGTGAAACCAGTTTTGTTCTCTGTCTTGTTACACACTCGTGTTCTGCAAGAAATTGAACACTTTTAAAATATGTGAGTTGGTTAGGGGGAAAGAAAAAAGGCTTACGGCCCTGTCCACCACCCACCAAGCTGAATAGTGGTTACTCCCAAGTAAATGTGTACAGGATGTCAGCCTTACTATAAATGGTATCTGCTTGGTTGAATCAACAAGCAAAGCCCTAACCGACAGGTCAATGGAAGGTACTAATAGGCACAGCCAAACCTTGTTTAATTAGCTCCTGAAAGACATAATATAATTTCCCTCTCCCTAGGAAGGAGATGGGTAGAAGAAATGCTGTGTACACCTCAGCTAGCTTTGGCCCAACCTGGCTACTACTAGCACCTGCATACAAACACACACAATTTCTAAACAAGCTATGGATTTTCTACAGCTGCAGGTCAATAAACTGCGAGAGCAACCTTCAGTGAAATATATTAGGTTTGCTGCCAAGGATTGACATGTAAGAGTCTAGAGCAGCTAGCCAGAGTTTAGAAATAAAGAAGAAAACCTTCCCTTTGTTCAGTGACAGCAACCCTCTTTTTCATTTGGTTTGCAAGCTGAGTTTGAAGAGTTAACTGTATGGTGCATTCAATAAATCGAAACATTAGCATTCCACAAGTGTTTCAAGCAGTTGGCATCCAGCTATGTAAATGAGACCAGGCTTCTGATATAAAATATTATAGATTTCTGCTCCAGGCTTCTCCCAAAGGCAGTGTAAAATAAATAGTTATTTGTTGTAATTGGAGGGCAGAGCCTCAGGGGGGAGGGATCAAACTGGAATCCTCAGGTGCAGATCAAGTTGGCTTGAACTCTAGGCCCGAGAAACTCAGCACCTCAGAGACCTGGCATGCTGTATTAAGTTTTGCCCTCAGCCAATCATGAGCAATTAAATTCTGAAGTTTGGAGCTTGCATTCAGGCTTCAAGTGGCCTTTCACTCTGATTTTATAAGAATTAAGCATGTGGGGAGGATCTCAACAAATGTTTTGAGCTGCAGACTGGAACCTCCATGTTTAGAAGCAGAGCTTAGCATAAACAAATGAAGAGGGTTGTTATCTTCATTTCTGCCTCATGAACTTTCCATACCCATCTTGCTGCCCAATGCTGAGAACAGGGTGCTGGATCTCAGAACTGGCAGGCCTTTTCTTACATCCTTACAGTGCAGAACACATTTGAAGCTAGATCACTGAGGCTAGCTAGCTGGCTGTCACTGAGGAAGACTTGGGCTGTGAGTTAAGAAAATGGACTCCAAGAAGTTAAGCATGGTGATTCGGGAGATGTAGCAATTCCCACCAACTTGGATGGCTTTAAAAGGCGTTTGGGCAAATTCTCAGAGGTTAAGGCTATCAATGGCTACTAGTTATGGTGGACATGGCTACCAAGATCAGAAGCATTATGCCTCTGGGGAACATAAGTGGGGAGAATGCTGTTGTGTTCCTGTCCTACTCAGGGGACTTCCCATAGGCATCAGGTTGGCCGTGATGGGAACAAGATGCTATTCTAGGTGGGCTTTTGTCTGATTCAGCAGGGCTGTTATGTTTTTATTGGCTACTGCAGAGTTGTGAGTTCAAATCTTGTGTGCAGAGAGACAGACTCTGTTTCTTTAGAGAGAAGGCTTATAACTCCATAGCAGAGCACACCCACTTTGCATGCATAATATCCCAAAGTAGTCACTGAGAGATGCTGCTTGTTGGAGTACATGGTACTGAACCATGAGAATTGCCAGGCAACTTCATATATTCAATACTATGGATCTGCCATTGCTTATTACTACCCCTCAGGTAGTGTTACTTTACTTACCTATTAAGGGAAACTTACATGGATTTGTGTCTGGATACTGATTGCCTGGTACTCTGAGAAAGAGTCAGGGTAGTATCCTGAAGTATTCAGGTAGTATCCTGAAGCACTGCAAAGAAGGCAGATCTGCAGCCACTTCTGGGTGGGAGGGCTAGAACAGGAGCCTGCTTCAACAAGTTGAAGAAGGTCAGGTGAAATCCATATGATGTGCATGCTGTCCCACATCCATTCATCCCAGAAGAAAGATAATATGATCTGATCAAGACTTGATGCAAGGAAGGGTGGTGGTGATAGGTTATGTGGACTAGGAGCTTTCAAACTTTCTAGCTCAGTCAGTGGCGTAGCGTGGGGGGTGCAGGGGGGCCGGCCGCACCGGGCGCAACATCTGGGGGGGGCGCTCACACTCGCAGCTCTCTGCCCCTATGGGTTAGGGGGCGCAAATTGCTTGCCTTGCCCTGGGTGCTGACAACCCACGCTACGCCACTGAGCTCAGTCTTGGCAAATCAGGTGCTTTCCAGATGTTGTTGTGTACAACTCCCACCAGCCCTATCCTCCATAGCTGTGGTGCCTGGTGCTAATGGGAAATTGTAGTTCAAAACATTCGGAGGGCGCCAGGTTGGTGAAAGCTGAGCAAGCTGTTGAGAACCCTTTCCACTCTGAATCCTGGTACAGAGGATTATGGGAAGAGTCCTAGTGTGTGCAGTCCATTCAGTGTTGGCCCTCACTTTTGCTCTGTGTGAACACCTAACACTTCTCTGCTGGGAAGTGGAAGGGAGGTCTTCTCATGGAGGAATACCTGGTACGCTTCTGAGGAATCCCAAACACAGAAGGAAAACCACTGCTGCAGACAGCCCAGTTGGCAACAGGGAGGGAAAGAAGGCTATGTATTGCAAAATAACCATGTGTCCCTTCATTTTTATTATTGACATAGTCAAGCACCCAAGAATGCTTGAAGTGCTAACCAGCCCAAGCATAACTCCTCATACACCACTATCTTATTCTCTTAGCAGCTGAGAAGCCATCAGCAGAAGGTAGGAGGATAACAGAATTGTAAGATGCATAGTCTCACTGGCTCAAGTCCTGTAGGTCCTGCCTAACTACAGTACCTGCAAAACTTCAAACCAGTATTGAATTCATTTGGAACTTCTTACAGCTTTCCAACAGCCTGTGACAACCTTTGAGGCTTCACCTAACCATTTGCAAATCACTGTCCCAGCACAACGTCACAACCTGTGATGTTCATATAACTGTAGACCAGCAGTGGCCTGTGGCCCCTCTGGACAATGCTGGACTAGTACTGTCTTTGGGAAGGGTCATAGCTCAGTGGTAGAGCATCTGCTTTACTTGCAGAAGGTCCCAGACTCAATCCCTGGCATCTCCAGGTAGGGGCAGGAGAGTCCTCTGTCTGAAACCCTGAAAGAACCACTGCCAGCTAGTGTGGACAGTACTGAGCTAAATATTCCTGTGTTCCCCCTGCCTATTGGCCATGCTGGCTAGGAGTTACGGGAGTTGGAGTTCAGCAATATTGGGAGGACCACTGATCCTGCATCACTGCTATGGCCACATAACAGTGATGCAATTTTGGGCTAAAGGCTGTAGTTCTTACTTCAGGGCATCCTCAGAAGGTTTGTGAAGGGGCTGCTCTAGAAGGAGCATTTAAGGTCTGGCAACCTAGGCTGCAGATGCACAAATTGACTGTACCTCAAAAGTGTACTGTTGTGGTTCCAGTGTCTGTGCTTTGTCAAGAGCTGAGTCGGAGCTGAACTGTCCCCAAGCCACATTGCATTTCTTGAATGGTAGGTACCTTCATACTTTGAAAGTGAGGCATGTAGAAAGCCACCTTCCACCAAGCCAGACTTTTGGTCCATCTGTCTATCTACATTGACTGGCAGGGACCCAAACAGCGTCCTTTCCCAGTCTCTACCTGGAGATGCCAGGGATTGGATCTGATCTCTTTTGTAAGCAAAATACAAGTATCCGTATTTACAGCAAATCCCAGCAGTCCACTGCCTCAGTGTGGCAAAATGCGCACAATGGTGTTAAGAGCCATTTCAAGAGCCTTCTCAACCTGATCCCTTCCAGATGCTTTGGACTACAACTCCCATGAGCCACAGCCAAAGGAGCCGTGCTCACATCAGCCCCAGTATCTTCTAGCTGTGCTGGCTGGGGATGATGGGAGTTGAATTACAACACTTTTCCATGTGTAAGTAGAGCTGGAAAAGTAGTCACTCTTACTTCTTAGTACCCCCTTTTAAAAATCCCATGCATCAGTTTCACAGTGGAAATGAGCAAAGTAAAAAAAGAAAGAAAGCATATTATTCAGATAAAGCAATTTACCTTAGTTCTCCTTTCCTTTAAAAAAGGGGGGGGGGTACTTGACTTGCTGTTTAATGTTCCAGTTTTTCATACTTTTATTTTAGAAACTGAAAGCAGGATGGTTCATTAAGTATTTAGACTACTAGAGGCTTTGGAATATGTAGCTTGTAGGCAGTATAGTGTCCAATGGCAGCACCACCCCTGCTAGGGCAAACACTGCAGCAAAGTTTTGCTGCATCAATCAGACACCAGTTCTTGCCTTTGTCTGCTGTGCTCTGCCCTCACTGATGTCTCCTGAAGCAGGTCACTCCCTCACCTTTTGCACAGCAGGGTCAGCCTTCTTTGTAGGTGAAATGGGAAGCTTGCAACAAAATTTACTATATATATGCTGTACACACACAGCACTGCACAGCACAGCCACACATACTTTTGGAAGCTCACCTTACATACAGGATGGGTTTGATCCAGGCTAGTACTCAGAGTTCCATTCAGACTCATTGAAGAGGGATAAGACAATCAGTGGCTACTAGACACGTTAGTCATGCTGTGCCTGTACACCTGGAGGCAGCCATGCTTCTGAATACCAATTGCTGGAAACTGCAGGAAGGAAGAAGGCTCTTGTGCTTCGTTCCTTGGTTCCTGCTTGCTGGCTTCCTTTTGGGAGTATCTGGTTGGCCACTGTGGAAAGAGGATGCTGGCCTAGATGGGCCACTGGCCTGATCCAGCAGGGCTTTTCTTATAAGAAATGGGACAGGGGTGCAATTCCCCACCCCACTTCCCACTTCCCCATGCATCCTCCTGTGCCCCAATGGAAAACTTTCTGGGAGCCGGGCAGAAACAATAGACCTGACTCTTGCCTTTGTGTCAAAGGCTACATTCCAGGCATGCAAAAGTCAGAGGTTTCTTATGCACTCATTACCACAATCCACCTCAACTGATGCATTATTGGACAAATCCATGGAGGAGGGGACTATTGGTGACTACGTCATGATGGGAGCTATGCTGTGCCTCCACACATTTGGAGGCAGTAATGCTTCTGAACAGTGGCTGCTGGAAATTACAGGAGAGGAGAGGGCTCTTGGGCTTGAATCTTGCTCCCTGATTTCCCAATCAGGGACCTTGGCATCTTGCTTGGCCAGTGTGATTGCAGGATATGGACTAGATGTTCTTACTATTGTGGTTCAAATACACGGTTCAGCAGTCAAAATTGCTCAAGAGAGGCCCAAAGCAGTGTTAGGCAAAGAGCATGGCCTCTGGAAAGTCTCGTGGGCAGAGAAGCCTGGAGGGCTGCATTCCCTTGAGAATGGGCCTGAGATTCCCCTCCCCGGTTTATATTCACCAAAATGACAATTTACCATCGCAGCTGTGATCGTCTGTGGTACATCATCAATAGGACTCAATGGCTATGAGTATTCGGAGCAGTAGATACTGTTGCAACAAGGGGCCTTGTGGTGGGCGGGCCTTGAGCGAATTGTGCCAGGGAGTGTGTAGCTGGTCCAAAATGTTTGAAAACTGCGTTCCTTGCCCACCACAGACCCTGATCCCCCAAACCATGAGCAGCAATTCTGCCTGCTCAGCAGGGCTTTGTGTGTGCTAGTGTGTGTTGGGTATACTCTTTGCTGCTGTTGAAGCTCTCCTGAGATTTTGCAGGCTTTGACATGGACACCCAGTGCACCTGTTTCCAAACAGTTGCCTGGGGGGCAGTTGGGGGGGTGCGAGAGAGAGATTTAGCTGAAAATTTAGATTTGCAGATACTAGTACAACATGCAACATTGTTCTGAAGCCCCCTTGCCCGTGGATATGGCTGTACGAGGAGAGACAGGTGCAGGCAGCTGAAGTAATCCTTAAACAATTGTTTTAGTAGTATAACAATGACTGGCAGGCTGCCCTGCTCCAATGGAAGTTCAAAGATAATTCAGCTTTTCAGACATCAGAAATTCCAGTCAAATCTCACAGAATGTGATCTGGAGAGGCTCAAAAGAGTGAGTGGAATGAATATCTCCACCACAGAAGAGAAGACAAGAGCTGGAAAAACAAATCATGTTTGGCCACAGAAAACTCCCCCTTGCAAGCAGAAAGTGAATTCTTGACTGAGTCCCAACAGCCACTCCCAGTACTGGTGAAGCATGGGTGTTGGAGGCTTCCCTTGCAAATTGAGCTAGATAATGGCAAAATTCTTTCCCAGACACCTTGGTTGGATTTGCATTGCCGTCATTCTTTCTTTAAAATCTGAAGCATGCTCCTCAGATGTCCAATTTTTTGAGGTTATATTGCAGCTTTTGCCAGCCTCTTTACTACAGCTCCAATCAGCCCTAGCCAAGACATAGAGCTGCAATTTCTAGAGTTTCCTGCAAAGAAGGGTTGATGGTTAAACTGTTCCAGGGTGGGGAATGAAGGGGGGGGCGTATCAACTAACAACTCTCAGCATCCTTGACAAACTACAGCTCCCAGAATTCTTTAGTTGAAGCCATTCTTAATGTTCTTCTGTTTGCCAAATGTTTTAGCTGTTCCTATTTTATCTGTAAGCTGCCTTGAGTCACTGTCAGCCTATAAATAATAATTAATAGTATAATAATTGATTAATGCCTTTATTAAGGGGTCTCTGAAGGCAAATGACATATAATTCTTAAACATGAATGATTGATTTTGATTTATTTATTGTATTTCTATGCTGTTTTTCATTGAAATGAATCCCGAAGCAGCTCACAAGCGATTATGATTAACAAATCAATAGGGCATTTATCAGGGACGCAGGTGGCACTGTGGGTTAAACCACAGAGCCTAGGACTTGCCGATCAGAAGGTTGGCGGTTCAAATCCCCACGACAGGGTGAGCTCCCATTGCTCGGTCCCTGCTCCTGCCAACCTAACAGTTCGAAAGCACGTCAAAGTGCAAGTAGATAAATAGGTACCGCTCCAGCGGGAAGGTAAACGGCGTTTCCGTGTGCTGCTCTGGTTCGCCAGAAGCAGCATAGTCATGCTGGCCACATGACCAGGAAGCTGTACACCAGCTCCCTCGGCCAATAATGCGAGATGAGCACTGCAACCCCAGAGTCAGTCACGACTGGACCTAATGGTCAGGGGTCCCTTTACCTTTACCTTTATGGTATTTATCCCCCATAAAACAATATTAACAGCATTAACAAAATAGCAACTAAGAAAAATAAGCTCAGTGCTGTTAAGTTCATACACACATGCTCCAAGCCCCATGACTTATAATCTTCCACTCAATTCAATTCATTAAAATACACATAAAACACACATAATGCCCATTGTTAAGACAGCGCAACCAGATGTTGTGCCAGCTGGCTTCCTCGGGTAGTGGGCCATGGTGGAAATGGTGGGGCTCTTGGGCCTACCATCAGTGGCAATGAGGAACTTGCCCAGATTGCTCCTGATAATAGGGAGGTCCACTCCCACTCAAGGAAGTCCAAGACAAACTTGTCCCTCCAGAACAACAAATCACAACTGCACTCTGTGTAGCGGCTGCCCACAAGATCCAGCAATGCCTCCATTAATATTATTGTATCTAAATCATATGTGCAAGGATATTCATACATAAATTAAATCACTGTCATAAAACTGAAAGGAAACAGTAAACATCTGAGTGCCGTGTACATCCATCCCCTTCAAATTTTGATAAGCATGCCAACCTCAGTTTGTGTTCATAGCAGGGAGGGATTTGGTGTTCTTAGTTGTAGCAACATCACCTTTCTATTTTAGCTAGATATAGCTGTGTCTTCTCCACCTCAGTTTCCACCATGGTCTTCTTCAAATAGGTGCCATAAAAATAAATACAGGCCCTTAAAACAACAAAAACACCATAAAGAAGCAGAAACTTCTAATTTTCAGTAACTTCACACCACGCATTGTTTCAAATACATGCACACAATAACTTCACCACCAAACTGTTTCCAAGAGGCTCAGCAGCCTACGAAAAGGAAGCAACAGGCATGGTCCTAGCTATTGTGAGGTAATACAGGGTAAAATAGGCTAATTGCCCATAATAGTGGCCACTCCCTGACTCAACTCTTCCACTGAGCACATTCAGCCTTGCTAAAGTGGTATATCTCATTGGGTTATGAATGCACTAAGAAGCATCCTTGTGTGATGAGGAAACCTTGCCTTGTTAGGTGTCCTGATCACAAGGAAGCTACTGAATGCATTTGGCCAACATAACCTCCCTGAGACAGTCTCAGGCAACACGGGATGGTCAGGCTTGAGTAGGTGTGCTTGGTGCATCTGAGGATGTTAGTACAGTGGTGCAGCATGTGTATGTTCTCTCTCCATGCTTTAGTTCCATGTGCCATGTTCTCCGGAAGGCATGAAGAGGATTTTCATTTCATCCTATCCTTCTGAGGCAGGAGAAATTCAATGTAGAATGTTCGCTCAGCACCATAGCATTGCCAACAATAATTTCCGGGGTGGGGGTGCATGTGTCCTTTTTAAAGAAATGCATCTTAGCATGTGTGAATACACACCCATCCTTCCATGTACTTAAACAGTATTTTACATGAAGGAAAAGCTTTATAAACAGTACCAAAAGTACTCCAGGCATTTAAGGTTGTGGAAGGTGTTTGTATGACATGGAACACTAACCAATTGGGATTTGTAGTTGGGTACAAAAGAGTTGAAGCAATACAGCTCAAACCAAATGCAGTGTAGGGTATGTATGCAAGGCAAAGCTCCAAGTGTTTCTCTCAGTGCAACTTCTGGAGCCAGAAGCATGAAAACCTTCTTTTCTGGAGAGTGATGTATTTAAAATGAATAAGTAGGGCATGCGCAGGCTCAAGCAACAAGGTGATACTATAATGAACATGGAGTACAGCAAGGCAGTCACGATGACATACCTGTTCTATGTATAGCCACGACATCGTCCTTGCACTTGAGGTCTTGCTAGTATGCCTTGTGAGCTCATGAGTGACTGAGCAATGAATGGTTCTTCCAAGTGGTACTTTGAGAATCTTAGAGCTAGCAAAAAAGCATGTAAGTGATGTAACCCAACCAGGGCGGGTCAAGTGTGCTTGTGAAGGGTTGGATGGACATTCTAGAGGCTCTATAAATAAATGGGAGGAACCATGTGACTATCACTGCTCTTCTCTCCCTAGCCTGTTCCCTTGCTGTTGAATGCAACCTCTCTGTGTGCTGTTAGCTGCAATTTGGGGTTCCTGATTTGGAGGCCCCTTAAGGCCTCCATGAAAAAGTAGCAGTTCTGACCTCCTCACTTGTGGGAATGTTCTGGGGTGCAGGAGAGGATATATTGACTAATTATATCCTTATCCAACTTGTGCTAACAAGTTCCCAAAATATCAGCAGAGTTTATAAACATTCCCCTTTAAGTTCGCAACGGTAACGTGTGCACAGGTTCGCTAGAACCTCTATAATAATTACCCTGGTAATTTCCCCTTTGTTCCCTCTTAAAATACAAGACACAACACAGTCTTTATGAAAGTATAAAAAGAGTTTACTCACGTTCTGTTCACAATATGATCCCAGAAGGCAGACAGGCTTAAAAAGGTTATATACATCCAGAATCTATCTTATAGCAAGATAGTCCTTTCTTCCTCTCTTGGCTGAGAGCCAAGAGAGCATCTTTAGATGCTTCCTCATCGAAGGAAAATGGCAGAGAGAGAGAGATGGCTGCCTGCCCTGTGCTTTTGTCATTACCTGCACAGGTGAGGCCACACCCACCTCTGGTCACATGCGGAGGAAGTCCGTCCCCAGGAAGTTTACCTGCTTGCTGGACAGACATCCCTCCCCATGTTCTAACATGTACACTCTAGGAATGTTGTCATTGACTGCTCCTGTGTTTACATCCCACATCACTGTCATGTGTCTTTCTGGCCTACCACACCAAATATCCTCATGTCTGATGGAGCTACAGCTGTCCTGGCTGTACCTAAGGAGGTAAGTGCAGGGTTTCCCAAACCTGGGTCTCCCCCTATTTTTGGACTACAACTCCCATCACCCCTAGCTAGCAGGACCAGTGATCAGAGATGATGGGAGTTGTAGTCCAAAAACAGCTGGAGACCCAAGTTTGGAAAACCCTCCTTTAGTGGAAGGAATGAGACTGGACATGCTGCTCTTGGCTGCCCCAGAGCTGCTCCCTACATTGAATACTTTACTGCTATGATTACGTGGACCCCAGCTTTGGGAAACATAAGATGCACAACCACAAATCATAGAATCATAGAATTGTAGTGTTGGAAGGGGTTCCAAGGGTCATCTAGTCGAACCTGTGCAGGAATCACTGCTAAGGAATCCCCAACAGATGGCCATCCAACCTCTGCTGAGAAACTTATTGCCTCGCTCTCACTCTGGATGCTTCAAGTACTAGGAGCCATTGATAGCCCTCTCCTCCATGAATTTGTTCACACTTCTGTTAAAGCCATCCAAGTTGGGCAACCGGCTCATGATGTCGCTATATCTGCCTGACACAACATGGCAGCAACACACCCCTCTCCTCCTGGCCCTAGAAGGAAATGGGGAAAGGGAAATGGAGGCGGCTAAGGGACTACCTACCCACTTCCCTGTGTTTTAAAATCAAGGGAGACAGGGAGGAAAAGAGAGGCAGCACTTACCAAGAGGGAGGTCTGTAGGATTCACCATCAAGGTCAGCCCCATTCTGGCATCAGTGGTAACAAGCAGAAGAACAGGATGGGAGCAAGGCAGAGGGCCCACCTCTTTCCCAGCCCAGCTCTGCTCACACCTCCACATTAGACCAGCTAAAGTCATATGCAAAGAAGTTTGGTTCCGCTTGTTGAGAAGCCTCTGGCTGACAGTACCAGCTAATGTTTCCAACAGCTGCTACAAACACCTGTGGAAAGCCCCCTTCCAATGCTCTTTCTGAACTGCTTCTACTCATTCTCCCTCACTATGTAACTGCCTGCCTTTTTCCTGGTTTTTGAGTAGTAGAGAGGAACATGGAAAACAATTTATGGGCCTTCCTTGTTCTCTCAGCAGCTCTGAGTCCAAGAAGTGGGGTGCTATTCCAGGGAGGGAGAGTACTCTAGCAGGCAGAGCCAAGAGAGGGTTGATAGGAGGTGAGTGACTGTAGTGCCTTAGGAATTGCTGGCTGCTGTGGTCACTCAGAAGGTTTCATCCTTGTGGAACTTCATTCATAGTCCTCTGTTGAACTGGCCCATAGCAGCTTAATAATCTGCTTTTATGCATTTGTGCAATTCTTACTCATTTTTAGGTTACTCTGCATAGCATAAAAACAGATTGTTCCTCTTATTATATTTGTGACTTTAATTATTTCATTTGTGACTTAATGTATTCCCTCTTTGTGGTATTTTCCCAAACTGTTCAGTTTTTCATATGAAAGGTTGGTTCCACCACCACCCTAATCCAAACGATATTTTTATATCCACAAACTCTCTTTAATAAAGCTTCTCCAAGTACTGCTGGAAGAAATGGATTATACTGACCCGTTTTGTACTGGCTTCAGACCACATTTTGTCACACAGGCTTGGTTTCTCTGATAGATGATCTTGATCAGAAGGCAAACCAGGAGGGGGAGGATGAGGATGTGTCGATTCTCCTTGATTTCAGCGGCTTGAGATACCGTCAGCCACTGAACCTTTCTGGACCAGTTCTGTGGGATGGGGTTGGGGGGCATGATGATATGATGGTTCTGATCCTACCTGCAATGGTGGTTTGAGAAGGCAGTATTGGAGGATCTCTGCTGAATCCTATGGCACTTGTGTTATGTTATGGCACTCTCTTCTCCCACCCTACTCCCTAACATCTGTATGAAGTCACAGAGTAAAATCACCTGAGGATTTGGGGAGAGGTGCCGCAAATATCCAGCTCAATTTCTCCTTGACAGGTGAGGCTGTGAAGGTGCTGAACCAGTAACTGAATGTGGGAATGGGCTGAAAGCAGGCCAATAAATTGAAGCTGAATACTATTAAGGTAGAGGCACTGTGGATATATGTGCTTTGAGTTTGGGGAAGTGGTGAGCTAGGCTCTGATGCAGATTGTACCACCCACCACCAATTCATAGCCTAGTGGCAGCTTTGTCACTAGAAGCCCAGGTTGACTCAGTGACACAGCTTCGGTTGGTTCACCAACTTTGGCTGTTTCTAGACAGTCTAGCCATGGTTATCCATTATCTGGAATCTTCCAGCCCTCAAGTTGACATGGAAGCTTCAAGTGATGCAGAATCTGGCTGCCAGACTTTTGATTACTACTGCTACATTTCTTTGTATACCAGTCATAAGAGAATTTCATTGGCTGCCTGTTTGCTTCTAGGGCCAATTCAAACTGCTGACACTTGCCTTGAAAGGCCTAAATAGCTTGGGGTCCAAATATCTGAAGGAACGCCATCTTAAGGTATACTGTTGAGGGTTTATTTCCCCCAGGTACTGTCTTTATCAGAGATACACTCTCCAATCTCAGGAATGAAGGCTTTTTCAGCTGTGGTGCCCTGGGTGTGGAGCTCCTTCTCAAAAGAAGCCATCCTGGCAACTTGGTGCCAGGCAAAAATGTTTCTATTTGCCCAGGCCTTTAAAATTCTTAAGCCTTAGTCGTGTTCATTTTAAAGATGATTTTTTTAAAAGGATATTATTTGTCCTTTTATTGTGATATGATATAAATGCGTTGTGAAGTCTGGATAGATTTTAAATTGTTTTATTTACTGTAATGATGTCCACCAGGAGTGGTATTGTTTGTATTGAATAACTCTCACTTTTTAATTTCTTTTCAAAGGAATTTTGGAATTTATAAGCTTGGCTGTAGGGCTGGTTAGTATCCGCGGTGTGGATTCTGGACTTTACCTTGGGATGAACGAGAGAGGAGAGCTGTATGGATCGGTAAGTTAGCCCTTCAGGTTTATGGAATATCAAATACTGTTGGAGTGGGTAACATTAAGGTTTTATTATGCCTTGATATTTTCCAAGATACCCACTTCAATCTCTTGTGGCTCTGACTTCCACAGCCACTCTTTTGCATTTGGGATCCCCAGCAACTGATTAGTGACCATGGCACAATTATGGTACTGAAAATGAGCTGCAGCTATGAGTTGCAGAAGTAGTAGGCTCCACAAAAAGCAAACAGAAGTGTAGGGTCTTTTAGCCCACATTAAAGGTAGCCACCTATGAGGTAGGCAGTCAATGATCAAGTAGGATGGGAGTTATGGCTCAACAACATCTGGAAGACTATTATCATTATTTAATGTATTTATATCCCACCTTTCTCCCAAATAGGGATCCAATGTGGCTTACATTTTAAAATGTTATAAATTACAAAGTTATTTGTATGTGACCAGTGGTCAACATCACCCACACCTTCGTTTTCTATGCCCTGTCTAAATAAGAAGGTCTTAGCTTGCTGGCAGAAGGATTACAAGGAGGGAACCATTCGTAAACTCTGTTGGGAGGGAATTCCACAATATGGGAGCAGACACAGAAAAGGCTCTCTCTTGTGCAGACTTCACCTGCATGGATATGGGGAGGGGCTGTAGCTCAGTGGTAAAACACCCAGGTCCCTGCCACTGCTTTAAAGGTAAGCACCAGTGCCTGTCTTGAGTTATGCCCAGAAACTGACTGGTCATTTGCTGTCCATTGTTTGTTTGGGGAGTTTCTGGCAGACCTAAGCAGACCCAAGAGTATGACTGATAGTGTGTCTCTTTTGAGGTTCTCATCTTGTTTAGGAAAGCCATGAAACACAAACCATTGTCAGGTCTGTGGGTATTTTGTGCTTATATTTAAATGCTACATTCAAGATCACCACCAAAGAAAAGCCTGATTTTGTGACTCAGGGTTAATCCACACTTACTGTATATTTTGCCCTGTGCTTTCTAGGCACAGGTCTGTGTCCAAGTACTTTTTTATTTTCCCTGCCACTTTCCCCAGGAAAGCCCACATTTTAACTCTGAATCAGAACAAATGGCAATTCAGGCTTTCCACAGAATGGTTCTCAGTGATAAGGTTTTTTCAGGGACAGGGCTGGGGCCCAAAAAAAGTGCTCAGGCATGGAGCTTTAAAGTGTCTAGAAACATTGCACAGAAGAAAGTCTGGATGAGCCCTCAGTTAAAATGTGAACATTTAATAAAGATGCACATTTTTTCACTTGCATAATTTCCGCTGCTGTTTTACAATTATTTTGCGTAGTTTCTTCTGGTCTTGCTACTTATAGTGAACTATAAAAAGCCTCACACACAGCCAGTGGAAATCTTGTTCAGACACACCTCTGGGCTTCTGAGACTTCAGTGAACACATTTTGGCATATCTTCCCAGTCATCTGGATCAGAAACTTTTGAAGTTTTTGAACTTTTTGAAGTCGAAGATGGAACTCTAGGAAGTTCTATATTCTGCACTCCCCTATAATTGCGACATGCACATGGGCCTGGCTATCGCTTGGATGCGCTCTGCTTTGGAGCAGCCCACAATTTGGACTGGAAATTCGCCAGTCTTGTTATGGATCTTTCCTGCTCAAATTAGAAAATAAGTTAAAATGCTCACCTGGGTGTCTTGATAATGCTAATCTGATTTAAATCCCAATTCCAAATCAAAGTCCATTCAGACTAATTATAGTATCCAGTTACCCCTCTGTGATGTGTTCTCTTGGCAGTCTCAGCAGGAAAGCCAACCCCATGCTGATTTCCAGTTGGATGATTCCATGCCATTAAAAATCTCTTGACACATACAGGATTCTTACTGGATTCTGCTTTATGGCACAACACTGCAATGCTATTTGAAGGGTTGACATGGGAAAGTTTCGGATTTGGCTCTTTCTAAGCATCTAATGCAGCAGAAAAAGATTTTTAAAGACCAAACTAAATGCAGTCATTTTGACAAGTTCTGGTTGCCATATATCAGCAATGTAAAACAGAAGTGACGTTAATGTTAGACCTCCAGCCACTTACTTATGGAGAGGCTGTCACAGATAAATGAAGCCTTGGCGATACATTCTGTGATTCAGTTACTTGACAGCATTCCTGCTCATTTTCTTTCTTATATGTTCTTTCATTTTATTAATTTCATAAAATATATACACCACTTGATTGTGTGTGTGGGACCCTCAAAGTGGTTTACTAAAAAGGAAAAAGCAGTAAAATTGTGTGTAAGAAAGAATGACAACAATAAATTAAAACTATTGAAAAGTTAACAATACACTAAAAACAGATTAAAACTCACATCAGCTTTCTATACATCTGAGTAGGCTTGTCTAAACAAGAATGTTTTTAGCAGGTGCCAAAAAGAGTACAGTGACGGTGCCTTCCTGGTGTCAATAGGCAATATGTAGTTGCAGATCAGGTATTCTATGGGAATGGAAGTGGTTCAGTGGGCATATATGGGGGTATGGTGAAACTGAGGTATATGTAACTGATGTATGTATGTATGTAACATTCTGCAGGTTTTGTTCAAATGTCATTTTATTATAAAGCCAATAAAATATTCTACAAAATAAAATAACCCATCAACACCGAAATGTTCAGCATTTGCAAATTTTCACCATGGTGGACACAGAGCAGCATCCTGCACAGGCTGGAACATAGGAAGCTGTAGTTCCATCCAACCCAATGTTTTCTGCTTTGAATGGCAGAGGCTCTCCAGGATCTGACACAGGAGCCTTCCACATCACTTGCTATCATTTTGCAGTTTGAGGTGCCATGGGATTGAGCTGGGACTTTTCCAGATGCAACTGCATCATTGCTAGTGTGTGATGATGATGAAGCACATTATGAAGGAGCAGGTTCTCAGACACGGCCACTAATCCACACACATTGGCTTTCTCCCTCATGGCTGCCATGGTGAAGAGGCCTAGTTTGTATGACAGGGCAGATTTTCCAACTGTCTGGCACGGGATCCTCCATGAGATGTGTAGAGAGCCAGTGTAGTATCGTGGTCAGGGTGTTGGACTAGGACCTTGGAGACCAGGGTTTGACTCTCCACTTGGCCATGAAGCTCACTGGAGTTGAGCTTGGGCTAGTCACTGCCACACCTTGAGCTCCTTGTAGGAAAACATGGGAATATATATATATATATATATATATATATATATATATATATGAGAGAAAGAAACAAAGAGCAAGCTTCCCTGAAATAAAGATTGCTAGCCACAACCCCTCTTCTGTCACAGAGCATTGCAAGAGTTCTGTCATGCTCGCTGTCCATACAGAGCATCTCACACCATCCAAGGACATTCCCCAAATAGGAAAATAGCAAGTTGCCTTACACCACCAGTTTAGCTCAGTTTAGCTCATGTCCACAGAGCATGGCAGCAACTCTTCAGATGAGACATTTATAGCCCTACCTGGAGGTGCCATTGGGGATTGAATCTGGAACCTTCTGCATGCAAAGTATATGCTTATGACTAAGCTATGCTTCTCCCCACCCCGAAAAACAATTAGGAACATAGTTGGTTGCCTTAGCCTGAGTTAAGCCATAGCTCCAATCCAGCTCAATATTCTTTACACTGACTGAATGTTGGAAGATTCAGGACACATAAAAGTAAGTATTTATTCACTCACTCAGAGCATAAATGGTCTCAGCCCTGTATACCTGAGGGAGCATCTCCACCCCTGTGTTCAGCCCAGACACTGAGGTCCAGCACTGAGGGCTTTCTGGCGGTTCCCTCACTGTGAGAAGTGAGGTTGCAGGGAACCAGGCAGAGGGCCTTCTCAGTAGTGGCACCCACTCTGTGGAATGCCCTCCCATCAAATGCCAAACGGATAAACATCTAGCTGACTTCAGAAGACATCTGAAGGCAGCCCTGCAGAGGGAAGTTTAAATAAAAAAGTTTGATGTTTTATTATGTTTTCATATATTTTGGAAGCCGCCCAAAGTGGCTGGGGCAACCCAGTCAGATGGGCGGGGTACAAATAATAAAATAATTTATTATTATTATTATTATTATTATTATTATTAGAATATGGAACTCGCTCCCACAGGAGGCAGTGATGCCAACTTGGATGGCTTTAACAGAAGACTGGAGAAATTCAAGGAGGAGAGGGCTATCAATGGCTCCTAGTACTTGAAGCATCCCGGAGTAAGGGCAAGGCAAGGAGGAAGGGTGAAAGCATTCACACGCCTTTGTGCTGCGAGAAGGATGGGAAGCTTCTCCCACGTTTGATCTCGCCATGTCGCCATACACATATACATCATACACTCTATAGTCTGATAGGTGACTTTGCACGCGTGCCCTCAAGCTTGCGCCTCCAGTGAGGGCCTGTTTCACCAACTCCTAGGTATGCCTCTGCTCTTACTGGTAAAAGCTCTCTGGGATTTCATGCTCAACCCTATCAAGAGATGCTGGGGACTGAACCTGGGACAAAGCAGCTGCTCATGTAAGAGGATCCTTATGGGAAAGGTTGTGGAAAGGATTCCCTTAACCCTGTGGGGCAGGCAGTAGCATGGCCAGCAGTATATTGTGCAAGGGAATACCAGTCAAGTGAATGGTTTTCTTAAACCCAAGGGTTGGGAATTTTCTTCCATCCAAGGGCCACATTGCCAATGGGCAAACTTCTGGGATACCACATGCCAGAGATAGGTAGAGCCGGAGGCAAAAGTGGGTGGAAGAACAGATGTGACTCTTAACCTAAGCCTTCTAACTTCTACAATGCACTCACCCCTCTTATCTGGGCAAGCAATAGTTCAGGGGCCACATTTCAGGTAGGCAAAAGCACCTGAGCAAAGTATGGAGAAGGACCAGTGAGAGGTGTAGCCTAGGGAGAATCCCAAGGGCCAGACAGAGAATTATGGGGGTCACATTTGCACACACACACACACACACACACACACACACACACACGTTGTTCATAGAAGGCTCTTCCCAAATAGGTGGCCAGGCAGGACAAATTAAATCCTGGTCTAGATTACAACAGTGTGCCCAACTCCAGATCAGCCTGCTCCCCAGCCATCGAAAAGGACCCTCCCATGAGATATTCTCTTTGCAAGGGGAAGGCCATAGCTCAGTGATAAAAGCAACTGCTTTGCCTGCGGAAGATCCCAGGTTTGATCCCCTAAGGAATTTCCGTATATGGCTAAGAGAGAACCCTGCTTGAAACCCTGGAGAGCTGCTGCCAGTCAGTGCAGACAACTGAACTGGATGGACCTAGTCTAGCAGTGTTCCTGTGTCAAAGTCCCATGCTCAGATTAAGCCAGTACCATTGACACAAAAGGATGACTAATTCCGAAGGAGCTGAATCATCGTATCAATATCAGTCAACCATTCCTGGGCTTAACTATTTTAGGGATGTGACCTCAGGATATCCTTACTGTCTTGGGGCATGACCTCAGCCCATGGTTATGTTGCTTCTCGGAATCCCTGTGCTCAGACGGAACCTCCCAGGGTTGTTTTTCTCTCTCTGCAGCAAAGTCCCTAGGAATTAAACCACTGCTATCATTTGCTCCCTAGGGCACCTACTCAAACATTTGCCATTAGCCTTGGTTCTCCTAAACACCATATGAGGTGCTACTCCTGTTTCTCAGGGGCTTATTTGATGGAAAGCTCCTCCATTCAAAGTCATTTATAACCATTCATTCAAACAAATCCTGCTGTCAGGGAGAATGGAGTCATGGAATCGTAGAACTATAGAGTTGAAAGAAACCCTAAGGGTCATCTAGTCCCTTGTGATGCTAGCATAACGGCCTTCTTTCCATGCTACCTCTCCATGTGCAAAGTCAGCCCCACTGTGTTCTATGGGTCTTACTTCCAAGCAAGGAGGCAAAGGGTTGCAGCTATAAACTTGGGGGACATAGGGATTGCTGGGGAAGGACAAATACAGAGCATCTCATGGGCTATGGCACCCATGCTGCAGATAGACAACAGAGGATGGGTACCACTTTCCTGCCCTGCTTGTAAGCTTCCACAAGGCAGCATGTGTTCAGGGGCAGAGCCCACTCTTTGCATGCCAAAGGTCTCAGGTAGCATCTCCAGGGTAGCAAGTGATGAGGGGCTGCAGCTCAGTGGTGGATCATCTGCTTTGCATGCAGAAGGCCCCTGGTTCAATCCCAAACATCTCCAGGTAGGGCTGGGAGAGGCTTCTGCCTGAAACCCTGCAGAGTCAGTATACGCAATACTTTGAAAGCCAATGTGGCATAGTAGTTAGAGTGTTGGATTAGGACCTGGGAGACCAGGGTTCAAATCCCCACTTGGCCATGAAGCTCACTGGGTGTGATGTTGGGGGTCGGTCACTCCCTCTCTGCCTAACCTACCTCACAGGATTGTTGTGAGGATTAAATGAGGAGCAGGAGAACCATGTATGCCACCTTGAGCTCCTTGGAGAAAAAGGTGGGATATAAATGCAACAAACAAGCAAGCAAGCAAGCAAGCAAGCACACACACACAGCATAAGACCCTGGAGAGCCACCGTCAGAGTAGGACCACATTGCCCAAGATGGAAAGGACTTTATAAACCTTGCTTCTTATATTCAAACGGCATGCTGAACAAAATGGGTCTTTGGGTTGATCCAGCAGGGCTGCCCATGTGAACAGAATGTTTGTAGATTATTCTTCATAAGTCTTTTTCTCCCCACCCACTCTCTCTCCCTGATCCCCTCTTCCACCCCACCTACACACACAGAAGAAGCTGACAAGGGAGTGTGTTTTCCGTGAGCAGTTTGAAGAAAACTGGTACAACACTTACGCTTCAACCCTCTACAAACACTCTGACTCCGAGAGACAGTATTACGTTGCTTTGAACAAAGATGGCTCTCCCAGAGAAGGATACAGGACTAAGAGACACCAAAAATTCACTCATTTTTTACCAAGACCTGTGGACCCTGCTAAGATCCCTGCAATGTACAGACATCTCTTCCACTACAGGTGATGTTCTCTGCAGCTTGAGCAGCCATTGTGTATATATTTACTTGGGTTTCCATGGTTTCTGCCAGGACGCTCCATCCCATAGCCATTCCATCATTCTTAACAAATCTGGATACCAGATAGAGGAAGCACTGCCTATTCCTTGGAGTTTTCTTTTCTTTTCTTTTCTTTTCTTTCTAAAGGTATTATCTCGAGGTTGAGTTTACTCCCGGGACGGGTGAGGATAGGGGCAGGGTGGGAGCCGAGCTTGGAAAACCCTACATAAAACCATTCATTAATTCAATTACTCTCTTTATCTGGTGGGCTAAGAGAAGGCAAAAATTGACACGGGGGAGAAAAGATTATTTCTGAAATGACAACCACCAATGCCAGCACCAGTTCCTAGCCACACGGCCATGGTGGCCACACCACAGAAGACCACAGCAATGACTTGTGTGTACTGCTCACAGGCTTGGAATGGTTATTAAGGGGTCCCACAGAATGGATGCGGCCTCTTCCTATTTGACACTCGGATTCTCTTGAGGTGGCCCTAGCAGACTTGTTCTATGTTGCTAGGCCAGAACTCCTCACCGTAGGCTCTAGCTGATAAGACTTCCATAGTGGGAAAATGGAGGGCAGAATCTAGAGTATCCAAACCAAAGCTTACATCTGGTAATCTTGGGTCCAGAGGGATGTGAGGGAGGGGGCGTTGTCTGTGGGCACACACGTGTGCATGTTTCCTGCTGTTGAAATAGGAGCAGAGGAGGGTGGGTCAAGGACCTTAACATTCTTAACACAATCCTGTTCCTAAGGGAAAAAATCTATTTATAAAATGTATATGATATTTATTTTATATATTTATTTATTTCCAAAAAATTACTATTTTTAAAATGAGAGATATTATGGCCCAACTTTCATCAGGAAGGGTAAGGTCCTATTGGAATAGGAGGGAGGAAAGGGGGTGGGGAGAAATGAGTTTTAAGAGCTTTTCGGCAATAAAATTGTCTTTATATATTGCGGGTGGCTTGCTAATTTATTCCAGTCACATCCATTGTTAATTATGAGGCCCGTCCAGATAACATTTTTTTCCTCTTCACACGCATTCAAGATGAGTTGTTCTCTTAATGGGATCGATACTCCCATGTTCATAGAATCATGGAATTGTAGAGCTGGAAGGGACCCAGTCATGGACTGGCTAGACACCGAGGAATGGTGGGAGGCACCAGCTGGGGAACCTCCAAGGGAAGAAGGCTCAGAGTCCAGGGAGTGGTGGTGGGACTATGGTATGTGGTCAGAGGGAGAAGATGGAGCAGACTGGGAGGAGGAGGTGTCAGGAGCTGAAGAAGTAACAGGATTTAGTTAGCAGGGGGAGGCTGTGGCAGAGGGCAGTCTAGAATCAGAAGCAGAAGCAGGAAATGAGGGGGGCCAAGAGGCAGAGATGAGGCAGGCTGCTGAAGAAGCCAGGGGGTCTCCCCCTTCTGCTGCGACCAACTCCCTTCTCCCCTGGTCTCCCAGGACCCGAAGAGGTATGAAGAGGTCGGAGCAAAGACGGACGCGCCGGCGTTGTCTCAGATTGCTCAGGAAGGACCCAGGAGAGGAGGAGACTTAGTCAGCTGTGGGAAGGCGGGGACCTTCAGTCTTCACAACTGCCTTATAGGGGCAAAACCTACCAAGAAGAGTTGCTGTGCTCATTAGGCCTGGCACTCCTGAGCAGGCCTTGTCTCTAATAAAGAGTTAACTTCACTTACTCTGTGTGATTTATTGCTGGCTGGCTTCCAGACACCCCAAGGGTCATCTAGTCCAACACCCTGCAGTGCAGGAATCACAGTTAAATAATCCCTGACAGATGGCCATCTAAGTTATGCTTAAAAACCTCCAATGAAGTAGAGTCCACCACCTTCCAAGGTAGTCAACTCCACAGTTGAACAGCTGTTCAAGTTGATTTGCACCCTCAAAACTTTCAGGATAGTCACATTAAATGAGCAGCAATCCATCTGTGAACCAATATCCTGAAATCTTTCACTTAATAAATTCTCCAGGTTTTAGAATGTGCCCCACCCCTACCTCTGTTGCACTATAGCATATTGGCAACAACCTGATTTGAAGTTGCTTCCTTGTGGTTTAGCCACTCCCACATACTTCCTGTTTCTGTTGTTCTTGTGGAACTGAACAAAGGTTTAGCACAACAATTGTAGCCCAAACATTAAGACTTAAAAAGTGGAAGTATGGTGCTGGCATTCTGTCACAAAGTAAATCATTTACACTTAATTGAAAGAGGTGTGGAGACAAAATTGCTGCCCACCTGCTCTCTTTTGCTGCTGAGTGGAAGCTTGGGGGGCTTTGCTTGCATGTGGAGTAGTGATGGGGGAGACATTCAATTCAGTCCACACTTTAAAAGCAAACCAACCTGATATGAACTTCCTGAAGCAATATGAAGCAAAACACAGCCAGGTTTTGAAATTGACACTCCTCTGAATTTTGCAAGGCAGTTTCGTCAGTCAAGTAACCCGTATGAAAATGCATGCTGCTAGGAGGACGTGTGCATAAACACGCATGGACACATGAAAACAACATATAAAAAATGTGTTATGTATGGGGAAACTGCTCAATAAAAATGTGTGTATCAGGCAAAAGTTGAATACAAAAGTAGTGAGTATATTTGGATAAATTTGCCTTCAAGTGAAAAGGATGGGACAAAAATCACACACTGGTGCGGGAACATGGAGAATGGAGTTTAAGACTGGAAGAATAACACTGAGATATGGAGAGAAACCAAGGTTGACAGTTACATATCCATTGTCAGGAGGGTCAAGAGGAAGCTGATCCCATTAGGGTTTTGTTTTGCTCAGGGAAAGTGAATGTAGCCCAAGCAGAGGATACATGAAACATACACAGCAAGGGGAGGGCTGTGAGTGTGTGTGTGGAGAAACAAGGGCAGTGTGTGCTGTGGATAAAGAAGCAACTGAGTAGTGGGGACCAGATAGGTATTTTCCTCCCTCTCTCCTTTCCCCGCTCAGCTGCAGGGTGCAATGAGGGAAGGAGAAGAAGCCAGATCTCCTGTTGCAGGCAAATGAGAGACAAGAGCAGCCAGAGTAGCAGCTTCAAGTGAGCAGGGGTGGCATGACATCACAGTGCAACTAACTCCTGCTGTGGGGATGGGGGAAAGGAGAGAGAGGGCAGGCGACAGAGACACGAACAGTGCCATAAGAGAGGAAGAGGAGGCCAATGCAGGAGAAACATGGGGGTGTCAAAGAACATTAATATCTCAATAGAAGGAGCAGGCAGCCCAGTACAATTATAAATTTGCACTGGGAGCATACACCAGCAATAAGATACCCACCTGGATATGCTCTAAGACCATAAAAAGAAGCATAAAGAACAGGAGTAGCAACCAGTTAGCAAGTAAGAGAGAAAATAAGATACTGCAGAAGAGGATGGGCTTCTTAATTATGATGCTTTGGGATGGGGTGGAACCCAGACATTCTGCTGCCTGAGGCAAAGGACAAGAGGGCACCCTCCATGCCATGAACAGAGACTAACTAGACTGGCAGTTGAATCTGACTCCAACCCTGGCAGTGAGGTAACATCCACTACTGCCCCCTGGGGGCAGCAAGCTAGTTTACAGAGGCTGTGGGAATCACATAGCTCTGCTCTCCAACAAAGGAGGGTGGCTGCCTGCCCCCACCCCCGCCCCAACAGCTTCCACCTGAGGCGATTTCCTCACTTTGCCTAATAGTAGGAGTGGTTCTGCTCAAAGGTAAACATCAAATGGGTTTCAATTAATTTGCCTTCAGGTTTTCTGTTAGGATATTAAAGCTGGAAGAGTAATTTATGCCAAGCGAAGCAATGGGAGCCTGAATGTATATTCTGAGAGTTTCTGCAGCTTTTTAATTCAGTATATCCACCTGTAGCATAAAGAGGTCAGCATTGTGGGATCCATTTCTTCTTTGGGAACTGTCTCACAATTTCCCCTAAACACACACCATTTGCAGCTCCCCAACTCTAATAAGCTTTTGGGAAGCACCAGAGGGATCAATGAAAATCAAGTGCCCTGCTTTGCAAAAACAAAACCAACAGTGGATACATCTCTGCATCCATTTCTTATTTACACATCACTTTCTACATAGGTAGCAGACTGCTAATGTGAGCTAACGATCTCAATTTACAAATGGGTGGAGAAGGCAGTGGGGAGGAACACATATAGATCAATGAAGGCAGAGGGGTTGACTCTTTTGAACCTTACAGAGCTGAGTCTAGCTGTAGGCAAGTGGGTGAACATATGGAGGCATTTGTGGGGGAATGGAGGGAGCTGCCATATGCCACATCACTCCATTGGTCCACCTAGCTCAGTACTGTTGACAATGATTGGCAGTGGCTTTCCAGGGAGGAGTCCTTCCCAAACCAACCAGGAGAAGACAGGGATTGAACCTGGGGACTTCTGTGTGTGAGCATTTCCCACCCACCCCTCCTCCAACATTCTCCTGCACACCAGCTCCACTTTTGCGTGTGGTGCATGAAGGTCAGAATGGAAAGTTTGAGCACCAGCTGGACTGTCAGGGGCAGAGCTTGTGTACACACATGCCCTGACCCATTTTCAGCCCTTGTCAGATACACCAGACAACTTGTCAAATACACTGAAGTTAGAAGCAATAATGCCTCTGAATACCAGTTGCTGGAAATGCTCTTCTGCTTACAGGTTTCCCACAGGGAACTCTGGGAACAGGATGCTGGACTAGATGGGCCACTGGCCAGATCCAGCAGACTGGATGCACAGGACTTTTCTGTCCTACTCAACCAACAATGGACTAATAAATCACTTCTTGGAATATAGTAAAATGACTGTGTCAGGCTGGAAAACCAAAAGCAACTGGCTGGAAGAGCTGAAAGTGACAAAATGAAATTCAGCCTAGACAAATCTAAAGTTATGCATTTAGGCACACATACATAAATAACAATCATATGCACAGGCATAGGATAGCCACATATGTACATGGATTGCTGTTTGGACGTACAAAAAAGATCTCAAGTTTGCAATCAAACACAAGCTGAAAGTGAGCCAGATGTTCTGTGAAATGGCTGCAAAAAAATAAAATAAAGCTAATGTGTTTTCAAGCTGCATTAATACAGCCATAGCTTCCAAGTCACAAAGCAAGTAATCATTCCGCTTTACACTAGTCAGTTCTAGTCAGATCTCACTTGGCATATTATGGGAAGTTCTGCGCAACATGTGAAACAGGTTCAGGAGGAAGGCGATGATGGTGGTCAGGGGCATGGGGAATAAGCCCTATCAGGAAAGGTTGAAGGACTGGGTGTGCTTCGCCTGGAAGAGACATTCCTCTTGTAATCCCTGGAAGCCTCTTATTTAAAACAAAAGCAACAAAAAAGTGACAGAAAGGAGCAGAGCAACAAACGTGAACTTTACAAAGTGCAATAGACTCAAACCAGTGACAGTAGACAAGGAGACGCATTTGCACCCTACATTTGAAGTAGTATCATACCCAGGGCCCTTTTTTTCAGTTAGAACTTTCTGGAACTCAGTTCCGGCACCTCTCAGGTAGGCACCATTGCTATTCCAAGAGAACAAAGGAGGTGTTCATGGCGAGTTCAAGCACCTCTTTTTCTAGGAAAAGAAAGTACTGATCATACCACTTTAGACTTACAGCTTTCTCCAAAGAATTATAGGAAATGCAGTTTTCTCACTCTCTCTCTCCAGAAACTAATTCTGTCTCATCTCTTACACATAGGCCACATTCACACCATACATTTATGATTCCACTTTAAACATGGCTTCCCACAAAGAATTCTGGGAGCTTTAGTTTGCTCAGGTTGCTGCAAGTATCAAATACCTCCTTCACAACAGGCTGAGAGTCAGATGTGTCCCTTTCCTTTGCACTGTTTGCATATCCTTCTGTGAAGGCTTGCAATCTCTTTTCCCACTTTAATTGCCATCTTTAAAAAAGAGTGTAGGAATTGTGTGGCCAATATTTTTCCATTGCCTAAAACATTCTCTCCTGTCCTGTAGAGCATTCACTATATATAAGTTTTAAATATCACAGGATCTGGGAGACTGTCACACAAGCTCTGGGAGGCTCCTGCAAAATCTCTCAGGGCCATTTGAGTTCTCGCAGGAGCCTCCCAAAGCCCTGTAAAAAGTCTGAGAGCTCTTTTTTGAGTCAGGAAAACCCTGTGCAAAAAGAGCTTCTAAGCTGTCTGCCTTCTGTGCATTCAGTTTGTATGATTTCAGACATCAACTACCTAAAGGTTTTGTATTAATTTTAAAAGCCCTGAAGAGTTCAGGTCTAAGGTGTCTCAGGGGTTGCCTGGGTCCTTCTATCCCAGCTCAGTCACTGTGATCACCTGCAGGAACATTGTTGGTCGTTCCCAGAGTTGGTGAGGCTTACTTGACAACAATGAGAAACTGACCCTTTGGTGTCATTTCCCCAGTCCTGTGGAACACCTTGCCAATAGAGATTAAGTGGGCCTTCTGTGCCAACTTTTAAATGCCTAATGAAAACTTTTTTAAAGAGTATATCTCCCACAATGATTTGTTGATGCTTGCCTTTAAGATTTTTTTGTTGTTTTAATGCTTTTATTGTATGGTTTCTATCATTTTAATGTTGTAAACGGCTTTGATATGTTGGGTGAATTAGTGGTGTATTAATATTAGTAAAATATTATTATTTATTAAATTTTTATACCACCCTTCATCTGAGGATCACAGGGCGATTTACAATATAGCAACA